CTATGGACAGTAGCTCTAAATATGCAAGACCCCTTCCGACCAGCTTTTCAGATAACGTCGTAAAGGTCCATGATCCGCCGAGGACCAGTTGAGCTCGAACCGTGCACAAGGTTCCCATGGCAAATTCTTGTGATGTCCTTGGTGCAGAAAGCTATTATAACGTTTATTGATAGATTGGGATGTGCTCTTTAATACTAAGTTGGGAGCAGTCGGTTTGAGTTTAGCAAAGTGTGATTAATGCTGTCTGAAATGTGGAGTGAAGTGTCGCTTTTTTGGCCACCCTGTATATTTTTAAGCGGTTAATTGTTTTCAGGAAACGGTTCCAAATGCAGTTCATTTAAGTGGTGCGTACGCTCCACATTTAGTTCAATGAGTAGCTTTTTGAAAAAGGGAAAGAAACAGAATCCAGTTGTTCGTTTGATACAACTGTGGTTGATGCGCTAAAAAAGCGCTTCAAAAAACGCTCAAAAAAGAGAAAATATCACAAGTTACCATCTAGGGATCCAATTCGTAATCTTGGAAGGATATAGTCCTTCATGAGCTATACTTGAGAAAAAGCCCCAACCGGAAAGGCATGGTGCACGCCGCAACCGAGACCCAGGTGAGCCAATCACGTAGCACTCTCTGGACCAAAGCGATTGCCCGTTATGATAAATGTGGATATCAGGGGGCCTTTCGATGTTTATAATGCTATACTCGATATCGGTGAGTTGGGGTGGGCGTGTCACCGGAAGTGACGTGCACTTGATAGAACTATGTGGATAAGCTGCTTCCAACATACATCGCTGGATATCAGCAAAGCATGCTGGCAACAGCTTATCCACGCACTTCTATCAAGTGCACGTCACTTCCGGTGACACACCCACCCCAACTTTCGGATATCGACTGTACTATGAGCTGTGATGTCTTGTCCAAATAAAGGTCACTTGTTCAGTCTGGTCGGCGCTCGTGTCATTAGAGGGGACTTTGAAGTGAGTGAGCCACTTACAGAACTTTGGACCGAGCCTTAGGAAGAGGAAGGGGTTCTGGGGACGACGTGAGCACCCTTTGTTCCCCTGGCTTCACTGCGCTTATCACACAGTGAGATACAGCCAAGATGGGCAGTCTATGCAACGGACAGCGGGCGGAGCTAAACTGGTAAAGGATAAAGCATTTGCCGTTGATCAATCCCTTTTTGGGATGCGGCACGCATTCTACTTCCATTTGTACATTCGTAGTGGCGTTTGAATGCGATGTGGCCTATACAATGACTTGCGGGGGCCAGCCGATGTACAAGTCAGTGTTTTTATCCTCCCAGACAAGTCTGGTACCAATTAACCGACCCCGGAGGGATGGAAGGCTTGGTTGGCCCGGGCGACTCACGACCCAGGATTTGATCCCCGGACCGCTCGCGTGGTAAGCGTGCCACTTGCCACTACACCACTTCCGCCCTTGTCACTAATTACAACTATCATTTACCAAAAATCAGCTATCACTATGAACCACTACTAACCAGATTTACTTGGAGGCCGTCGTCACTTGTGGTGTATGGTCTGCACCCGACGCTCTTCTCGTTTTTTGAAAGGGAGGGTACATACAAACCGTCAACTCAGCGGTTTATATGATAGAAGGATAGCTAGAGCAGATTTTAACATATTACACGAAAGCAAAAGTACGGACCGTCGTTGCAGTCGGTCCTACGACCTCTTGCCTGTGTATCAGGGTCACTACTGCTGCGCCTTCGTGCTTCACAGCTCATTTCACTGAATCGCTCCACACATAACAAAAACACATTTGAAATCAGCGTCTCGGGGCATGCATGAAGGTACAAATACATCCAATTTTAGACGTTTCGCCGACCAATTGATCTTCCTTGTGAGTTTGCAATGACGACACGTAATACTCAAGAGGCAGACCATATTTTGCTTTGCAAGTGCCCCGAGGAGGTAAGGGGAAGTATATATAAACGATCGCTTGCAAAACTGGGAAACCATTCGGTCTTGCGACACATTCTCAGTAACTTAACGGTCTCATTGCTATAGACATTGATCTGCAGGTCGGTCTCCGCAGCGTAGA